GCTGGCAATTTGTTATGGAGAGTTTGTCAGGGGGGTCTGCAGGCACCTGAGCATCTGGTCCAGACGCCTCGGAGGAAGGAAAGGAGAATCCATGTTGAGGTCCCGGAGGTGCTGCAGCCTGAGCATCTGAGAGAGGAATTGGGAAAAGAATCGCTGCTCCTCCTGCTTTCTGTCCCAATCCTCTTCCTCCTCCCACTCCTGCTCCTCTTCCTCCTCCTCCTCCACCTCCTCCTCCTCCACCTTCTCCTCTTCTTCCTCCCTCCTCTCCCACCTCCTCCTCCTCCTCCCGGTCCTCCTCCTCCATCTCCTGCTCTTCCACCTCCTCCTCCACCTCCTGCTCCATCTCCCCCTCCTCCTCCTCCACCTCCTCCTCTTCCACATCCTCCTTCTCCCTGTCCTCCTCCTCCATCTCCTGCTCTTCCTCCTCCTCCTCCTCTTCCACATCCTCCTCCTCCATCTCCTGCTCTTCCTCCTCCTCCTCCTCTTCCACATCCTCCTCCTCTGTCAACACGTGGATGTGGGAGAGAGAGAGTCTCTGCAGGTTACACATCTGACCCAGGTAAAGAGCAAACGTCCCCAGGGTGGGCAGGTCCCACGTGTAGTTCACTTCCACCTCCTGGATGCAGTCCAGCTGCACCCCATCCAGGACCTTCCCGACCCTCTGGAAGGGCACCTCAGAAATCCTCAGCGTCTTGCAGCACAGGTGTACCAACCCTTCCCTCTGCTGGGCCCATTGGATGATGAACTTGAGAAACTCATCCCCATCCCTTTCATTGAAGTTAAGGTCTAGGAACACCTCCAAGGGGTGCTCAGTGTTGGGGCTGGAGCTGTGCACAGCCACTGGTCCCGCAGGTGAGCAATTCCGGGTGCTGTCTCCACACCACATTCTCCAGAAGTCAGCACACGTGTTCCTTAAATCCAGCACCCGCAGTTTCCAGCTCCTGGGGCGAACCTCCTGGGCAAGCAGAACATCCAGCCCATCCAACACAGCTTTTAAGACCTGGTCCAGTGACAGCTGTGATAGGCAGCCCAGAGGGAGGACAGTGAAGGGCCAGGCATGCACCATCGCCTGCAGGGGCTCCCGAATTCTCCTACGGTAGGCCTGAATGAAGAACTGCGGGAAGAGCTCTGCGGGCAGGTACTCCAGAGCTGTGATGACTGAGGCCTGGTCCCTCAGCAGGCGCTCTCCTGCCAGCCGCAGGAGTGTGGGTGGAGTCCGGATACTCATCTTCAAGGTGCTCAGAAAGGAATCCTTCAGAAACGTCTTCTGTGACCCGGTTGGCTAGGGCTCAGATCTCAGAGCTGGTGGAGAACCACCACACTGACTGCAGAGCCTGAGGACTCTGAATCTCTCCTCTGGTGCCTGAGATTTTTATACACCTTCTCAAATGCTAACATCCAATCAGAAACCACAGTCTCCATCCCTTAATCTTATTGGGATTATTTCCTCTCTCCAGATTAATGGATTGAGAGAAAGTTAGGGAGGGGCAAGGTTGAGGCCTGGCTCATGGATTCCTTCCACAGATCCTGACTGAGGTTGACTGATGGCCCCCAGCTGTCATCCTCAGTTTGAGACAGTGAAGGTGTAATGGTTTCCTGTTGTTAAATAGGAAAAAACAAAACCTGAGAGCATGGTGGCTGGGGGTCTTTGGCCACATTAGACTAATCCAAATGTATCCACAGTTAAAACAGCCAAGGCCCACAGCTGACACCATTTGGTGTCATCAACAAAGAAAATCATTGAAATGTGTCCATGCTTCAAGTGAGGTTTTATGTCAGTTGACATAGCAGATCATGAGCTCCACAGGGATCAAGGGGTGGGAAAATGAGCATGTGAGTGGCCCTGTAGACCCCAAGGCTTCTCTGAGGAACCTCAGGTAAGAATCACCATGAGAAGCAGGGTCAGGGCTGGGCAGGGCGGGGTGGGCCCTCCTAAGGGAACCCTGTGAATGACCCATGGCCACGTAAACCATGGGTGTTTTTTTCTTGGAAAGAAGAGAGACGGAAAGACTCTTCTCTGGGTTAATTTAAGATTTAAAATGAAACAAGCTGGAGGGGAGACAGTGCCATCCTAGAGGGCAAAGGGAGAGATTTCATCCTCTGTCCCTCCCAGGAGGAAAGGGTGGTTCTCCACTGGGAAAGATGGGATTAGCTCAGCAACTGGGTGGAGAAGATTAAATCTAAGAATGTGATTAGACCGAAAGAAGCCAGACCTGGGAGTCAGACATTTTCAAGCCTGAAAAGCACTGAAGGCAGATGCATGGGCTCTTTGAAAGAGAGAATCTTAAAAGCAGCAAGAGAAAAAGTTAGTTACCTACAAGGGAGTGACCATACGACTGTCAGCTGATTTCTCCACAGAAACTATGCAGGCCAGAGGGAATGGCAAGAAATAGTCAAAGTGATGAATAGCAAGAACCTACAACCAAGATTACTCTACCCAGCCTAAAGCTATCATTTAGAATTGAAGGTCAGATAAAGAGCTTCACAGATAAGAAAAAGCTAAAGGAGTTCATCACCACCAAACCAGTATTACATGAAATGCTGAAGGGTATTCTTTAAGAAGAGGAAGAAGAAGAAAAAGGTAAAGATAAAAAACATATATGAACAACAAAGTGACAACAAATACATATCTATCAACAAGTGAATCTAAAAATCAAATGAATAAAAAATCTGATGAACAGAATAAACTGGTGAATGGAATAGAATCAGGGGCATGGAAATGGAACAGACTGAAGATTCTCAGAGGGAAGGAGGTGTGGGAGATGTGGGAAGAGATTAGACAAAGAGCTTATATGCATGTATGCATTACTTATGGACGCAGACAATAGGGTGGCGAGGGCCTGGGTTGGGGTGAGAACCAGGTGGAGGGGAGCTATGGGGAGAAAAACGAAGGACATCTGTAATAATCTCAACAATAAAGATTAATTTTTTAAAAATGAACACAGCTAGAGACCCAATCAAGTTCCCAAAAATTACATTTCAAGGAATGATTTACACGCATTGATCACATAGATTTGCTCTATTGATCATTTCTGGCAATTAGGAACCCATCAGGCAAGGCTTAAAATTGCTTCTAGTCCTGGACAGTGTGCTCGGTGGTTAGAGCATTGGCCCTGGGACCCAAGGGTCTCAGGTTTGATTCCCAGTCAAGGGCATGTACCTGGGTTGCTGGTTCCATCTCCACTGATGTTCCACTTCTCCAGGTTCTGATCCTGTCGCGGAGAAATGGAGCACTAACTCGAGGCCACCACCTTCCCAACCCCCGGCCCTCCCTCTCCCTCAGCCCCCTGCTGGCGTTTCCGCTAGCGTTCCTTCTTCATGAATCTTCTGCGTCACTCATCTTTTTCTGACACACCTGCCACATTTTCCATCTTCCTTCCCAGCAGCCTCTCAACCCCTGCACATTATCTTCAACTCTCCAAAGCTCCCACATGTCATTGGCCATAAGACCTGAATTCCAGTGGTGGTAACGGCAATGATGGTGAGCTAACATTTTCTTCACTTCCATGCTGCTACCTTGAATCCTCACAATCCACTGCAGTGTCTACTACCTATTATTAACCTTTTACAGAACAGGAAACCGAAGCTCAAAGAGGTCAAATAATTTTGCTGAGTTTGTACAATTAATCAATATTTTACAAAGATATTCCAATAATGCTGAATCTGAAAATGAAATTGATTAGGACCAATCACTCAAAATCACTTCCATATGCTAAAAAGTCCATGAGCAAAAGGATACAATGCCAAAGATTTGCTTACGGGAAGGCTGGCGCTCATTGTACTGCTTGCTCTGCTTTTGTGTATACAGTGGGGCCTTGACTTACGAGTGTCCCGACCAACTAGTTTTTTGAGATACCAGCTGTCTCTCGGCCGATTTTTTGCATTGAGTTGATAGAGTAATTTGAGTTAACGAGCTCCTTAACGAGCTCGGTCTCAGAACAAATTAAACTTGTAAGTCAAAGCCCCACTGTACTTGAAACTTGCCAAATAACGATGTGGAGGTTTTAACGTCATTTTAAATACAATTACAAACAACCTACCTAGGCCTACTGATCAGGAGAGCCATTCAGAGCTTGTAGATAATTTCAAATGTTCCATTATGCGTTCAGACTTAAAAACACCCAATATGGGGATTCAAGAACACACGTGAGCTTTAGACAAAATGTCTCATCTTTGTCAAACAAGTTTTGTTTGTTCCGACCTTTGCAATATGCACTGCACACTTGTCACCGTGGCAGGAACAATTACCCAGGCGCTGTGTCCAACCGCACGCTGCTACCTTTTAATTAACCCATGCAGCCTCTCTTACTTAACCTCGTTTGAGAAGTGACAGCCATGTGGGCTTCTAAATAATGTCTGTCAGTGTTCCTTTAGCCGCGGGTCTATTCGATCAGAACAATAGTCAGGTGCATGGTCCAGCCTCCACCCTTGTCACAAGTGTGAGTGTCCCAACCACCATGCGGAGCTGTCTCGTGTGTGAGCAGCTTGGCCAGCGTGTCCTCTTCACCGTGTCGCCTGCACAAGCTCCCACAGCTCTGCCTGAAACCCTTCCCACTCACACGCCGGGTGTGACCAGGGCGCTGGCCACTCGCATGTCAGCAAAGGGCTTAGGTGAAAGGGCCACATTTCTGGGTGGAAGTTCATCAATATATCATCAAATCTCTAAAAATGTGTATGCCCTGGGGTTCAGCAGTCAGATCTAGGATATTATCCTAAAAAAGTAATTGGGCAGATGCACCAAGATATATGCACAAGGATATTCAAGGCAGTGGGTTATTTTTTAAATAATATTAAGTCATTAGAGTCTAACTGCCCAAGATCATGAGATTAGCTCAATGAAATGATCTGCAGACACTAAGAAGGTTGATGTAAATACTTTTTACGATAAATCGAGAGGTTCCATTACATCCAGTTAGCAATCAGCAGGTTACCCAGAAATGTGCTTAGTATAAATATATACATAGTCTAGCAGGTAAAAAGTTCTGGACTGATAATCACTGAGGTTTCCTTCAAGTGTTTTTTTCCCTCTCTGTATTTTCATGTATTTCTACAATGAACATAAGAAAGAAAAATAAAAAAGTAACAGATAAAACCTACTGTGTCTAAATGTGTTTTAAGTGCTCAGATACAAGACAAAGGCATAACCTGGCGGAGATGTGGAAACCCTGGGGGCACCGTTTCCATAAAGAGAACCTCTGGGTATTAACTATGGAGCAGAGTGATGGGCAAGGTCAAGGGGAGGAGCAGGGAGGGGGAGAGGAGTCACCTGCGATTGGAAACAACATCCCAAGTGCAGGCTGGGAGCTCTGAGTGACACATGCCCTCAAACCAGTGAGACACCAGAGCTTCTGGAACTTGTAAAACTGCCGACCCTTACAGCAAGCCCTCAAGATAGGTCTTCGCAAAGGGTGGTCCGGGGTCCCACTCCTCGCCCAAGGTTCTAGCTGGTGGACTCATGTGCCCGCTCCCCTATGCGTGAGGCTCTCATAACTAAGAGAAGAGGGAACCAGGCAGCTCAGCTCCGAGAGAGGCACTGTCACATGACGCTGATGAGACGGCCCCTCACGGGTCTGGGTAGCACCCCCTGAAGAATGGGTCTCGCAGCTGGTGGCGGCAGCAATGAGGGCTCTTCAGGAACAGAAATGAGCCCCTGTGGCTGTCAATTATTCAGGCGAGATGCTTACAGTGAGCGGCTTAGCTCCAGGCCAATAGTAACTTCCATCCCTGTTGTATCAGAGTAATTGCATTTTGCTGCTTTTTCTAAGTACACCGCAGGTCAGGAATCTGTAATTCCGCAGTCAGTCACACAGTAGCAGGGTCTGCAGCTGCATCACCCGGGCTCCGCCACGGAACAAAACAAACATCTGGGTCTGGTTTTTGGTGTGATAAATAGAGCACTAATAATAAGTAATGAGGATATTGTTTTTAAGCTGAAAATGTCTAAATTGAAAAATTCTTCAGATAACAAAAAAAATCAAGGCAGACGAAGAGGATTGCACAAACATGGGTAAATGTGCATTTTAAATAAGGAATCTATGGGATATATAGAAAATACCATTACAAAAACTGTCATTTCAAGGTTAAGCAAACCATAACATATATAAATATTGTATATGCCAGTATGTTCATGTACAAAAAATAAGATGGGCTTAAGGGGAGTTAGTATTATCTGACAAATTTCAAATACTAAAGTACTAAGAAGTCATATTTTCAATGCACTTCAGACTA